TTCTCAGTTACATGTTCAGTTATAAAATGCTAATAGTATAACACATTCACATGGCTCATAATGAAAAGTTACCAGATATACGGCCAAACAGCTCCTTCCTAACCTCTGTCCCCATCCAACCCTGTCCCCCCGCAGGCACGCACGCGCACACACACACACACACACACCACAAACTCTGCTCTGCAGTGTGCTTTTTTCTGCTTAACATTATGTGTCCTGAATGTCAACATCAGAACAGAGAGAACTTCCTTATTCTTTTTCACTGCCACATAGTACTCCATTGTCTGGGCGTGCTGCAGTGATTTCCCTGGTGTCTGCCCATGGGCATTTAGGGAGTTTCCAGTATTTTGCTACAGTAACTGAAGTGACTAGTCTGGCACTCAAGTCACTTTGCATAGCTGGTAGAACATGGATACGGTACATTCCTGGAAGGGGAATGGCTGCCTCACAGGTTCCTGCATTTGTCAGCCTGACCCAGGAGCCCAAATCACCCTCTGCAGGGGCTGTGCAAAATGATGCCCCCAAAGCAGTGAGTGAGATGGCCTGGCGGCCAACGGCCTCACACACAAAGTGTTGTCACTCACTGGGGTATTGGCCACTCTAACGAACCACATGCCCATTCTGCAGACATCTCAAACTTAAAAAAAAAATTAATAGAAGACTTATTTAGCAAAAATACATATAGCCATCATTGCAAGACTTAAATGAGATGATAAATGTTCAACCCAATTTTCTTTCCGGAATAAGTTTTTCTTTCATACCCCTGTCAGTTTTGAAAACATACTACCAGAAGAAGGGGGCCCAATTCCACAGAGAGCTCCCAAGAGTGACTTTCTGGGAGGGAGTCTGAAATTGCGATAACCCTTTACTGATCTTGCTTAGGTCCCACGCATGCAGGCCGCCTCTTTGATGAGCCCTGGTGGTTAGGCCATGGTTAGGCCGGTTGCACTGAAGCAGTCCTCCAGGGGCTCCTGTTGAAGCAGGATTTTAAGGCCAGCCCTGCAGCTCGCTCCTGCTGGAGTTCTGGAGATGTGTCCTATTCGGCGGGATTGAGGGTCCAGGGCAGAGTGGCCAGGCGTGACAGAAAATACTTCAGGGCAACACCCGTGAAAAGAAGGAACAAATAAAAATAAAAAAGAATACTGTGGGAACAACAGCTTGGTGACACCGCGCACAGCTGCGAGTGCGGACAGACCTCTCCCCCTTAACCTGACCAAGCGCCTCCTCAGCCCTTTCTCCCCTCCCAGGCCCTCCCTGCTCCTGGAAGCAGCCCCACCGCAGCCGGGCTCCCTCGGGCTGCTCTTTCCTTCAGCCACCGAGAGCTCGCCCCGTCTCACTGTACAGTGGGGCCCTTGCTGCCGCCCTCATCGCTCCCCTAGGGAGCCCAGCGCCCCTGCAGGGCGGAGGGGTCTTTCCAAGCCATAAATCCCATGAGTTGAAAATCACGTCTCCAGCCCCTTCCAACCCCCCTCCATAGCTGGAAGGAGCCCGCTTACCAGCCCCCTCCTTCCTCCTGCGGGGTCTCCCGTCCACGATCCCTTTTCCCCAGCCCTGCCGGCTTTCTTTGCCTAAAACCTGGAATTCCTCCCCGTTCCCGCCCGCCGGCCTCCGCAAGCTCCTCCCTCCCCTGCAGCGCCCAGCCCGGGTCTGCTCCAGGCACCTCCTCAGGACCGGGCCTCCAGCTACTGACCCTTCGAGCCGCCCCTTCACCCGCAGGCACCCCGGGCCCGTCCCCCGCGCCTGCACCCAAGCTGCTTGTTTGCTTGCTCCTGGCTCCTGCAGGGAGCGTCAGTCCCGGAGCCGGCTCCCTCGGGCTGCTCTTTCCTTCAGCCACCGAGAGCTCGCCCCGTCTCACTGTACAGTGGGGCCCTTGCTGCCGCTCTCATCTCTCCCCTAGGGAGCCCAGCGCCCCTGCAGGGCGGAGGGGTCTTTCCAAGCCATAAATCCCATGAGTTGAAAATCACGTCTCCAGCCCCTTCCAACCCCCCTCCATAGCTGGAAGGAGCCCGCTTACCAGCCCCCTCCTTCCTCCTGCGGGGTCTCCCGTCCACGATCCCTTTTCCCCAGCCCTGCCGGCTTTCTTTGCCTAAAACCTGGAATTCCTCCCCGTTCCCGCCCGCCGGCCTCCGCAAGCTCCTCCCTCCCCTGCAGCGCCCAGCCCGGGTCTGCTCCAGGCACCTCCTCAGGACCGGGCCTCCAGCTACTGACCCTTCGAGCCGCCCCTTCACCCGCAGGCACCCCGGGCCCGTCCCCCGCGCCTGCACCCAAGCTGCTTGTTTGCTTGCTCCTGGCTCCTGCAGGGAGCGTCAGTCCCGGAGCCGGCTCTGGCCGGCTGCTTCCCACCGCTGGAGGCCAGGGGCGCCCGGTGATCCGCTGGGGCTGCGTCCTCCCGGCTCAACCCCTGCTCACAGGAACCTGCGCGGCCCGGGGTCCGTCCTTGCACAAAGGCAGCAGGCGCTGGCCCAGGCCCCGCTCCGGCCGCCCTGTCCCCGCGTTGGGGGACTCGCTCCTCGCCGCCGGACGGATCCTCCTCTCCGGAGGATTTTCCTGGAGAAGATACTGGTGCAGATCCAAGCGCTGGCGGGACAGTGACCCGGCGGGCCCCCGCCCCGAAAAGCAGGAACAGCAGGAACCTCCAGGGCGCCGCCCGCACCCTCTTCCTCCTCGCCCGGGGCCTCGCGCCCTGAACCCGCTCCTCTGCCAGGGGTGGGCGCAGCCCGGGGCGCCCACCTGGCCCCAGGTCTCGCCGCCCTCCGACGACTCGGCCCGCCCTGGCCGCCGCGAGGCTGAGGGTCGCTTTGGGACCTAAGCCCGCCCCCGTGGGAGAATGTGTGCCAGGGCCCGCTGACAGCTTCCCCTGGGGCTCAGGCCCCGTCTCTCCCCACGCTCGCCCAGGGTCGGGGGCCCATGCAGGGGAAGGTCGCGCTGCCCCCACTTCCTCCGACCCTGTGCTCCGAGGAGAGGAGCGGGAACTCGCCCGCCCAAGGCCCACGCTCCCCACGTGGCTCAACAAGGCCAGGACCTCGCAGCCACAGGGACCGGCTGGTCCAGGAGCTGGGCAGAGGGTCTCCGCGCCAAACCGCACTGGCCCTGACCCTCCTCTCCCTCCTTTTCTCTCACTGTACCGTGGCCTCATGCCATCCGCTTTGGCCCCAAGAATGGAACTCACGGGAAAGGGCCTCCCCTTCCCACCCTAGCTCCCTGCTGTCCCAGGCCCTTCTGAAGCCCACACCCTTCTTCAGGCCCACAGGGCTCCCCTCGGGGCCCTCCCCAGCCTCTGTGCAACCTTCATCAAGGTGCCCTTCTTTCCTTCCAGGGACTCTGCTCCTTCCCAGGTTGGCAGCAGAGAGGCCCACCCTTCCCTGGCAGCTGCGGCCGTCTCTGAACACAAACCAGAACTCCTGTGTCCACAGCTGTAGCTTCCAGGTCAATGCCAGAATCATAAGAGTCAGGTCCCACTGTGTCCCTCGCATGGGGTTGAAATGGCTGCCCCGTGTCCACCCCACCCTCTTCCTCAGTAAAGGACGGTGAAGGAAACTCCAAAGGGTCATGGTTCCCTTTTTACAGATGAGGAAACTGAGGCACGGAAGGGCGAAGTGACTGGCCATGCCCTACAGGCAGACATTTCCAAAGCTCCTGCTCACAGTGAGGGCTGGCGGGCCCTCTCCTGCCTGGACCACAGGAGCTGCTCTGGGGGCCGGGACAGGCTGGGGATTGACACACAGCCTGGACCACAGGAGCTGCTCTGGGGGCCG